AGGTTTACTTCGAACGAGAGTAAGTGCATCTTCAGCTGAGTTAAGCATAACTTTAACAGGTCTTATTTTATTGTTGTTATATGTTCCGATTCTAAACACTTTGATATTAACCTTATTTATTTGAGCATGGTTATTTATGGCCTTAATGACTGAGTTGTAATCCTCCTCGTTTCTCTCTTCTTTGGTTTGCCTACGAGATTCAGGAACATTGAAAGCTATAACATTCGACTCTCTTCTCTTTCACTCATTAATTTCACTGATAACTCCTTTGGATGACAGGGCATTACTATTGGTGTTGTAGTCTCTTTCAAGTTGATTCAACTTGTTTCACATGGCCTGGTTTTCCTCTTTTAATCTTTGGTTTTCTTCTAAAACCAAACTAATATTGCTCTTTATGTCAGTAAGGGCCTTTTCAATCTCGATCGTAAAAGGCAAGAAGTATTTATAAAAAAGAGCTTCCATTTTGTCAATATCGGTTTTATTATTTGTTTCGACATCTTGCTCATTGACTATAATACTAACTTCAGCACTAAGACAAATGGAACAGACCCATTTATGAGAGTGTTTCTTAAACGGGCCACAGATTATATGATTTATCGTACTACAAGTTGTACAACATCAAATCGTTTCGACCGTTTGATCAATGGTTGGATAGTTAGTGGCTTTGTAGTACTACTTGTAGTAAGACAAAGTCGTATCCTACGGAAGTATGGCATGCAGAAAATCTGTAGTACAACGCCAGTAGTATATACGATAGATTTGATGGTTTGTGTGCAAACCCAGACGTAGAGGCCAATTTTGTGAACTCCTCATTTGTAAGGTCTGTGCATTTCTTGTGTATCTAACAATCACAGTGGTTACATTTTATATGCTGGAGAATTTGTTCGAATATTCTCCTCGCATACTTTGCATTTATCAACAGGAGCCATTTTTAATAATTATTTCTATATATGTAATGTATTCATAATTTTTTTTGTAAATTTACTAATTTTTTTCAGTGTCGCCAAAACAACAGTTTTGTATAAAACTGAATGATCCCAAACTCATACGAACAGCTTGTTTACATTTTACCAAAACTAATGAATATTGATTACCCCGAAGTACCGAAGTTTATAGAATAAACTTAGGAAACTTTGTTTATTCTATTTTTTATCTTCAGTTTGTTATTTTTTCACTTTTTACAAAGCCCCCGTATATCTATGCACCATAAAGTGAAAGTAGAATTTTAATTTCGCATAAATAGAGTAAAATATTACATAAAATTGTTTCTGAATTGGTATTGAGTTGAGTTCCATTCACAAAACAGTAATAAACATGTAATAAAATCTTACTCCAATTAAAAAATAAACAAAATTATAGTAATTGATTGTTAATGCTTTATTTATTTATCAGGTCCACGTAATATAATTACTAGTTACCTCATATATGATCTTTCGAAAAAAAATTTAACCTTCCTAGGATACAGGCATTTTACATTTAAAATGGATGAAAAAAAGTTAAGTGCAATTTTGTGTATTGTTTGTATATATTTTTTTTTCATATTTAGCATATGAAAGAATTTATAATATTTGGTAATATTATAGATTTAAAAGTTAGTTAGTGGTAATATTAACAAAAATGTCATAATGAAAGAGTTTATAGAATAATTTATAATAAAGTATTCGTAATGAAGATTGTAAAGAAATTAATATAATACTAAAACAAAACACGATTGGAAATTAGGAACACTAAATAAATCAACTAAGAAAGAATGAATGCTATTTTGTATTCCTATATTAAAGTCGAAAGAAACGTTATGGTAGCCATTTTGAAAAACTTTTATTCAATTTTTTTAGACATTTTATATTTTTGTTAAGTTTGTTGTAGTTTTGTATTATTTCTTGCTTATTTTATAATTTGTTTTATGCAAAGCGTATAAGGTGGTATAGTCTGAAAAGACATTGTGTCAGGACTTGTGAAATTATTGTAAATCTTATGTTACTGTGCGACTTTCTCTGAATAAAAACATGAAAAATAATGGAACGACTTTTTATTAGTAACTAATAATTATACCTTGTGTTTCTTAAAAGCGGCTCGCTCCTATAACTTTTATATTTTTTCAGATAAAAAAAACGAGATTTGGTATGTTAGTATATAGTAATATAAATTAGGGTTGATTGACGTATTCAATTGTTTTCGGTCACTTCCTGTTTCACCGGAAATTAATACAACTTTTGATTTTTAAATAGCACCCTAGGTATTTTTTACTTTATTTGATAGAAAATGACATTCTGAATAAAATGACATATTATATGTCAACTTTGACATTTTCAATAAAAAAAATATAGCATTTTAAATATCAATATTATTACAAATTTTTTTAGGAGAGAATGTCAAAAGTTGACATATAATATGTCATTCTATTCAAAGTGTCATTTTCTATAGAATAAAGTAAAAAATACCGGGGGTGCCATATAAAAATCAAAAGTTGTAGTAATTTCCGGGGAAACAGGAATTGACCGAAGACAATGGAATACGTAAATCAATCCTAATTTATCTCATATACTAATATACCATCTCGTTTTTTTATTTCAAAATTATAGGGGTGAGTCACTTTTAAAAAACACCCGGTATATATGTGGGGTTGGGGTTTTGTCTTTGATTTGGCTGTATAGATGGGATATTTTAAGTGTGTTATATTTTACCATTTTTATATGCAGAAAATCCCTGAAAATTGATATGATGTTAGTGAGTCCTTTTACCAGTGGAATTCTTCTATAAGTTGTGTAATCCATTTCATCCCGTGCCCACTTTTCAAGTCTGATGTAATATATGAGATACCGTGTGACGGTTGCCAAAAAACATATATATAGGACAAACTAGTCAGTGGCTTAAACAGAGACTATCATTGCATAAAAGTGACTGTCGTACACAAAAAAAGAGATGTGCATTGGTGGACCATCATTTGGAAACGGGACACACGTTCACTATAGATAAAGTAAAGGTTCTAAAACAGGAATCAAATTATAAAAGCCGTTTATTCATGGAAATGTTTTATAAATAAAAATAAAGAATCTATTAATTTTAAGTCCGACACAAACCAGTTAAATACAATATATTGCAATTTGTTAAAACATTAAACTAAAACTAGTAATGAACTGATATCCTCTTTCTTTCTTTTTGTTTTGTCCAAATTTATAACAATTTTATCTTACTGTTTGTTAGTTTTGTCTGATTGTTGATAATTCTTTTTTTGTCAGTTTCATTGTAACTTAAACACCATGCAGTGTAGGTCTGTTTTGTCCGTCAAATTTTATAACTGAAAGTAGATTATTGGTGTAATGAATGTGTATATTGAAAGATACGACTGACTTTTAGTTTTGTAAGTATAATTTTTGTGTATTTTAATTGATCCTTTCTTATGTTAGAATTTTTGATTTTGTAGTATCTCCTGATGAAGTAAATAAAGATTTACGAAATATTGAGACATAAACAAATAAGTTTTTGAGTCACTGACCGCCAACCTGAAAATAATCCAAACAATCCTTTAAAACAGTACGGTCGATATTCAATTTTCATTTTTTACTATATATATATATATATATATATATATATATATATATATATATATATATATATATATATATATATATATATATATATATATATATATATATATATATCTATATATATAAATTAGGAGTAGAAAATTAATCAATTAATAAATTTTGTTAAAGGTAACTAATTGTTTTTGTTACCGCATTTGTTACTAAGTACTTACTTCTCAGGTACAAGTATACATTAATTATTAAGATATGTCAGTGTTATGAATTTTACTTAGTTGTTACAATTAATTGTTGAGTATCTATACTTTTGTTATTAAATAATTATATCAATTTATGTATTTTTATTGTGTTCTTTTCAATTAACTTTAGGTAATTATATTTACCCTTAATATTTACTATTAAAAACCTTAGACAAATCCAGCACATAATTGAGTGTACCGCTACAAAAAATTGGTGGAAAAATGTGGATTACATTGATGGATACTTGGCTCGAAAAAAATTTCTCAATAAATTGATACTTTTTAAAACTCCTGTATATTTTTGAAAACAATTTAATTTCAGTGGTGATATTCTCAGAAATTTGCAAAAAAGTATAATACCTACTAATGCTTGATCATTCTTTAAGAAGGATATAAAACTCTTAGTCATAATTATTTGCAGAACACATCAAGGACAATAAGGACAACCAGGACATTCCTTTAAGACGTTGAACTTTATTTCTATGTGTCACATCTCAAATCGGAGTAAAATCTGCATCATCATCAATCACCATCGGATTATGTTAATGATGTTGATGTCACCATAATTTCAGAAACTGAACGGTATTCAGAGAATGACATGCCATTGGAGAATCTAAAAGATAAATAGTTCTAAATGGGTAATAAAATAATCGAAAAGGGAATAATAAAACAATTAGCGATGGCTATGAAATGAAGATCGCTGTCATTTTATACCGTGCTGACAACTATTTCTTTTGGATCGGTGTTTACAACCATAGAGAAAGTTAATAGTTTAGAGAGTGGTGAATCGCGTGGTAAAATGTTGGGAGATTGCGCTTTTAGCGCCCTCTACTTGGCTACAGGTACGAACTATGAAAGAGCGGGAGATTTAAATTATTATTATACTTATTATTTTTAAGGCAATTAAAACTAAGAGTGCCCTTAACCAAAAACAGTGATATAAATGGAGATACCTACTCAAATTTTTTATATTATCATGATACTAAAGGATATAAATACAGCATTTATAATCCTTTTACACCTTTTTATTCAAAGTCTTACACGCTAATATAAAATTTGACTATCTCCATTTATTTCACTATTTTTGGTTAAGGGCACTCTTAATTTTAATTTTCCTTTTTTTATGGGAAAACGATTAAATGGGAAGAATTGAATGGGAATGGAAAGAATGACCAATTATTGTATTTTGTATTAATTTATAATACCCCTATTCTACTAAATATCTAGCTACATTGTACTTACAGTTAAATAGCTACATAGTACTAGTTATATACATATTTACAGTTTTATGCTGGCTATTATTTCTTTTCATCGTGCTATCAATTGATTCGCTCCGACTTGAGTACTATACCTCGAGATGGCTCCAGGAATTATTTACCTTTACAGGCCTAGAATATGAAGATTCACAGTAGAATTTTTGGTTTTACTGCCTATTCGAAACAAACCTACCCCCCTACATCAAGGGACATACAATTATGCCTTGTTCTCGGCCATGATATTCCTTCCATTCTATATCCAACATCCAACTTAGCACACCTTCTGGTTCACAACAGGGCCTAGACTGGTCGGATGACATTTTAACAGAATAGCCCTTGATATCTCTTTCACACTTTTATTTAATAATTAAATAGGAGGGCTGGATGGTATAATTTCTAGAAAGAATAGCCAGTGAAATAAAAACTTAGGCATGGACATTACCTTTCTTACCTTTGTCTGCTATTTTTTAATAAAAAACAACTGTTTAGTTTGCAGAAAAATAAAATTAACAATCAAAAATTTCTTAAAAAATGATTTTTAAGAAAGCCTTGTACTACGCCGCGTGCCGCTTTTTGACCAAACAACAAACAAAAGAATGAGGTTAGCGGCGTTGCCAATGTCAATTTTCTAAACTACCCAAAAATCTAAATTAAATTCGCCAATTTGGGGAGAAAAATGTCCCGATTCACCAAAAATTCCCCATATGATTATTTTAACAAAAAAAAATAATTTTAATAAAAATACAATATTTATTATATATGTTAGAGAGATTAAACTGTAAGTTACCTCCTTGTTTTTTAATCCCTTCCCTAGTAGTCATTAAATAATTTGAGGTCACTAAATTTTCTTTCAACTGAAGCATTTGCAAAGGAAGCACAAGTAAAAAGCAGATTATAATTTTAAGTTGGGAAAGATATATCGTCCTGCTCCGTTTTTAAAGCTAAAAATTTTACGCCATTTTCAATCAGCAATAAAATGTTGAAACTCCCTTATTTTCGCCCCCTATTGCTAAAATCCCCACAAAACTCCCAATCGGCTCCGGATTCCCAAAATTTGGGGAATTCCCCTAAATTGGCAACGCTGGAGGTTAGCGTGTTCTTTCTGAATATGCTAAGACTAACGGACTAGTGTCGAAACACAGATAGCTAGATGGACGTATTTCGGCACTTGCGTCGATGCGCTACAGGTACATTTGCCTGCGCGTCGTATGTCTTCTGGCAGTCTTTTAATTTTTCTGTTTGTCTATGTTTACAACTGTGGAAGTAAAGCGTATAGGGATCTTATTAAGTCGAAGTGAGAGAAATGCGACGGTGTGCTGTTGCGGCGTTGCCGGTACGCCTTCCCTATCAAGTAAAGTAAAATCACGATGGCAAACCGCTTATTTTCAAAATACTTTTTTTTCGAAAAGATAACTAGATAAAATCATTAGATATGTTTCTGAGCATCTGAAATGGAATTATAAGGATATCGTTAGGGTGTCCATTTTTTTATAACGAGAAAACGTCAGTAATCGCGATAATTTAAAAACTCAACTTTTATGTGTTAAAAAGTTAAGTTTTTGGTGAGGAAACACGCCATAACTTAATAACCATTTTAGAAACTTTTTTATTTATAAAGATTTTCACATACTGTCTGCGAAGAAAATATAGCAGAAATATTAAGAACTACATTCAATTATTACCAATAGATTTCGAGATATTGATTTTTGAATTCTAATAGAGAGTTCCAATGACAATCACTGTCGAACACTAACTCAATTCCACTTATTTTTACCAAAAATGCAAGTGTTTCTAACTTGCACTTAAAATTTTTTAAGCTATAGGGAAAATTACAACGACTCGTTAATAAATAAACAAATAAAGTATCACGAGACGTAATTAAATCGTGAAGCTGAACGCATGATGTGCACCTTTCCTTAGAACTTCGGGTTTCTCTTATTACCGATTCTGAACCGTCCTAGATCTGTGATGCGTATGCGCAGAAGGAAATATGAAGACATTATTTCATTTGCGCATACGCTGCAGAGTTCTAGGACGGTTCAGAATCGGTAATAAAAAGAACCCGAACAAAGCTAATGATTGGGACTAGCGGCTGCAGCCTGACAGGTCACAGTTGTGCCTGTTTTCAAAACTGTCAAAGAAAATTTGAGGTTAGGGTTATAGTAGTGACCTTTGAATAAGAAGACTAAGGAAGGAGCATATCAAAAATCTTAGGTACACCGCGATGAGCCTCAAATATGGCCGACTTAAATTCCGGTTTATCAGTGTCGTTCTAATTTTATTTAAAAAATGTAAAACTATGATGTAGGGTAGACGTGGGGTAGACTCAATAATTTGTTGTTTTATGTTACGTTGTGAATAAATGTTGGTAGTTATTAAAATTGTTATAAAAATATATAATTCTAATAAAAATAGATAAGTTATAATAAATATTTATTAACACAAACATCCGATACGCTACTGAAGCAGGTAAGTCAAATTAACGTATCTAAATTCTTTGACATCTAATCTTTGACAAGTAATAAATAAAAGCTAAAATGCAAGAAAAATATATAATTTAGTTAATTTAAGTGAATTTCATAAATGATCGGTTTACTACACGTATGTGTAGTAAACCGATAACTTATATAGTCACTTACTAGCGAAAAGTTGTTCCATTATTTCACTCAATTTTTGCCGAGATCTACTGTACGCTACACAACCAACTATTTTAGAATCTTTTTCGATAAATCGCGATAGTGTCACTGTTAATTTAAGTTCTGCCACAATTTCCATCTAGATTTACTACCTTTATACAACTATCAGTAGTAGAATAAATAATAAATAACATAAAGTAAGCTCCGTAAAGACTGACAAATCCACAACATTTCAAATCAAATTCAAATGTATCAAATGAATCGTCAAACAGAACTGTCAAGGATCCCCACCCTAGAGTGCTTTTATGGCGCTTTTTCCGCCCACCATGCATGAATACATGGATAGCATTATGCTCCTTCCTTAGTCTTCTTATTCAAAGGTAGTGACTAAAGGTAGTGACCAATAGTGACAAAAACAAAAACACACACCCAGGCACAACTGTGACCTGTCAGGCTACAGCCGCAAAACTGATTGGGTAACTGCGACAAATCTGCTATATCCCCTTCCACGTCCCTTAGCAATGTGTACAGTTTCTCTGCCAGCCCTTAGTGTGTAAATTTATATGGGAAATGTCATCGATCGTCATTTCCCAGCCAACATGAACTAGAAATTTATGCGTAGTCTTTTAAACACGTCTATGAAGGCCGTAATAAAAAAGTATTTTTCTTTGAGTGTGGGACACTCTGTATAAAGACACTATGTAACTGGATTTCTTCAGTAAATACAGCCAACAAGTGAAACAAATTCAACACTGCAAGTTAAATAAACGAAGATGGGTAAAGCAAGCAAACAACTTTTATTATTATTCAAATAAACATACATATGCATGTCATTTTTAATATTCATATAGTGATATTAACAACTGTTTTTTTTATCTTATCAACATACAACATTACATGCCTGTGATGTTTTAATCAAATTTTTTTTTAAATATTTTTTTATATTTTTAATTTTAGATATGCTCACTAATTTTTGAAGATAAGTTAGCTTGTGGTCTGTGTTATTTTATTATTGGAATTATATGATTTTTAGACTACCTGTATACAGGGTGGTCCACTTTTTAGTAGCCGAACTGTAACAGCCAACGAACAAAAATATTTCAGAAAATCATTTTTCAAAAAAATTCGCTTTAAAATTCAAAGTTTTAAAATTTTCAAATGCACGCTAACCAGTGCCGGAGATGAGAGGGGTTTCGTTTGTATAATTTTTAAAAGATATACTCTGTTTTTTTTTTCTCAGGTAAGATTTCGACAGACGATGACAGAAGAAAAGCAGATGACGTCCCATACCAATCTATTTATTTTACTAAAAAAAGTTTCTAATAATTTTTAAGTTATCCATGGATGGGCTTAAATATAAATCCGTCATACGTCGTGTCTTGTTGTTTTTAACCAGTTTTATTGGTTTATTTAAAAAATGACAGATCGTATTTCAATTTTATTGGTTTGACGGAACGATGAACGACAAACGGACGCCGATGCGTATGAACTCGCCTTTAGATTTTTTTCATTTTTGACGCTTGTCAAAGTCTTGCCAAATTATAGGTTAGAATGTTGTGTCAACTTTTGTTAAATACCCTGCGTTTTGAAAGATGATGCATGTTGATTCGTATTATTACGTGTGTTTTGTGTCTTTTGAAGTCAAGTGTAGGAAAAATCGAGTGAAAATTAACTGTAGACCCGGAGCACAGTTTATGGTTTATACTCGCTGCCCAGGCAGAAAGTTTTATACACCAATGAAGTTGCCATCGATAAAGTTTGTATACCATTTCGTCGTAGATAAGTGCATCTCGTATATGGTAGAAGGATCAAACTAAACACATACTAAAAACTGGAGTAGCTGTAAAATATCGACATCACACGATAGGTAAATAATGGATTTTAGTACTGCAGAAAAATAATGTCAAAAGGTACTGGTTTAAAAAAATTAAGATTAAGTTAATTAATCAACCTTTAAGGTATAAAATTTGGTAGGTGTTATTATTAATAAAATAGTTTGTTTTATTTACCTATGTTGTTTTATTTATTCCTACGGAATATTACAAATTTGTATTTGTACATAAGTTATATTGATAAATATAATCATAAATGCGGGAAGTTTCATAAAGCTTGAAAGTAAGAAATAGTTCTTTTTTATATTTTTTGGTATGTGGTGACTTGTTTTTGTTTGTTTTGTATTAACACATACCGGTTTTTATTAAATAAAATATCTCGATTACATTTTTTCAGTTTTATACAGTTTTTTTCACAATATTTTGAAGTTACTTGTCAGTCAAATTTTAAATACATATATTAATTTCCTGCTATGCGTTCCAGTTGTACCAACTTATTTCTTTGTAAAATAAAATAAACTACTTTGAAATTAAAATGACAGACACATCTATCACTGTCAAGGATCTTCTCGTTGGACAGACTATAACTATTACTGTCTTGTTAAAATTTAAATTTCATACATTTTTCTCAATGAATAATTATTTCTTGCTTACAAAAAAATGTTTCTCAACATTTTTTTGTGATAGCCTTATTTTCACCACTAATTTAGGCTCAACTTTCGTTTAGCTGAAATCAGTTATGTAAGAAAGTTATGTAAATATTTGTTTATTTAGTAACGGAAGTCTTTTCGTTGAGCTCAATTTTTTCGGCCGAAATGCAATCTTTTCGAGTTTTTTAACTTTAAAATAGCTGAAATTAGGACTACCTACTTTAAATTACTTTAGTTTAGCTAAAACATTTATGTGAGAAATATTTGTTTATTTAGTATTAGGAAGTCCTTTCAAAATAGAAAGTCACGATTTTTTTTCTGCGGAAATGCATTATTTTCAGTTTTTCAACTTTAGAATAGTTGAAACCAGTTACTTGAAAACATGTTTCTGTTTTTCAATCTAGAAATTTTCTAAACATAGACACGCAAAAAACTTTTTGCCGAAGTGTACCCTTTTCATTTATTGATAAAATATTGTAAAATATAGCAAGATTTAAACAGAAGAAGTATGGCAATTGAAATACGTAAACACGCGCGTTTTAGCTTACAACGTGTTTTGATTGCTTTGTTTGGTTTGTTGGTTCGTTTTTTTTTATTTTCGGTTCTTCTTGGAACGGTGTTGATGTCTAAATTACAATATCTACTAGGTTAAGTTCATATCTACACAAGAAAAGTGTTTAGAATATAGGAACATGTTTTCATGTAACTGACTTCAGTTATTCTAAAGTTAAC